AAGTTATTGCCCTTTGTTTATGTTTACATTTTGACTTTTGTCCTGGACATAACATTAAATAGATAAATACAGAATCCCTAAAGTAAGCCCAACACTGCAAAATTGAAAATGTTGCAGGCTCGGTTTGATTGAGCCTGTTCATGGACGGTACTGGAAAGTGCAAGTTACCGTCCACGCCCCCTAGCACCGGCTTAAGCAGAATTCAACATTTAAACATGAAATAGTAAAATTTTGAATTTAGAAACATCCGCAGATGTGTTCATATGGCGGTTAACATGGAACCTTCAATGCGACACTTTCGTGCCATTCCATGAAAAGCGGCGTATGGTCCTCAAGTAATAAAAAGCGATATCAACATAATAAAAAGAGATATCAACATGAAACTTTGTAGGTAGCTAGATATAATTAGATAGAACTGCAATGCTTTAAGAACCTAAACAAAGCCTAGTCTAGTTTTAGAGTTATTGCCCTTTGTTCATTTTTACACTTTGAATTTTACCCGGGACATAACTCTGATATCATCAGGAAACTTTATAGATAGATAGCTCTCATTAAATAGAAGTGCAGTGCAAAAAGAAACAAATAAAACATAACTCCGCCTTGCCTAATTTTGGAGTTTTTGCCCTTTGTTCATTTTTCTTATACTTTCCTGTGTCCAGAACCTTCTCGAGGAGCATCACCCGGTTCAACCGGTTCTTGTTTTTTGTTTGTTTGTTGTTTTTTTTTTGTTTTTTTTTTTGGGGGGGGGGGGGGGTCTGCCTGGGCTCCTTGCCACTGGTCCTTGTTGCTGGGTCATGTGGGGGTTGCGTTCATTGAACGCCGCCTTTCCTTGTTGATCTTGTTTATCATATTTTACAGTATTAACACTACTACTGCATCTAAATGTACTGCTACATATGCTATTCATGGTCTACAATATTCTACCGACTGGAGATCTTCTTTATTGATGTCTTGCTGATCTTCTGTGTCCATCTTGGAATATTAACACCAATATCTGGTTTCAGCTCATCATGGATACTAACTTGTTCTTGCCATCTTTGTCCATTTGTATAATAAAATTTATATTTGAAAATGTTTCGTTTATGATGAATGGTCCGTCAAAAACCTTTTTTTATTTCGGTGTGACTCCCACCTTTTTTGTTTCATGTAAATACCATAACAAAAAACCTGCTTTAAATTCATAATAAGTGATTTTTGTATCGTAGATCGTTTTACTTTGCTTGGCACTAGATTTCAAATATCGTCTTGCTTTATTATGCGCGTGCATCATTCTGTCCCTTAGCTTGGCTATATAGGTTGCACTGGTTTTTCTCTTTGATTTGAAGCAAAACCATTTACCAAGTCTCCTGGTAATCTAATCTCTCGACCTTAACTTAGATGTGATTTTTTATGATTCACATGGTTTGCACCTTTAAGCTCCTGCCAAACAACCAAGGTATAAGTCCTATCCATTTTGTTTATCTTCTATGCATGCCTTTATCATCTTGAATAGTGTTCTATTATATATTTCAGTTTGGTCATTGCATTTTGGAATTCTTAGACTGGTTCCTGTCTTTCGTATCTCTAACATCTTACACAGATCTTGGAAAAGTCTACACTTGATATGTATGTATGGTGCTAGGGGGCGTGAGGGATGTTGCACTTATTCATTGTCCCTCATGTACAGACTCAATCAAACCGGGTCTGCAATGCTTACGTTATTTTGTTGTGATTAATGCTTCCGAGGGATCACTTTGTTTCCAGAAATTTGAAAGCGGCGCTCCCATCTTAAAATGAAATCACTCGGAATTCGACATGCACAGTCTTCTGCTAGTAGATATGGGACTGCAATCACTTCAACATATTTTGTAAATAAATCAGTCATTACCAAAATGCATTTATTTCGTCTAGGTGTCCGAGATAATCAATGGCTAAAGTGTCCCATAGAGCTCTACTCCATATGTGTCCCATGACTGCTTTGAGCGGTGTTTGTAATTGTTTATCAGCTGCACATATGTCACATCTCGTAATGTACAGTCTTACATCTTCTTTCATTTCAAACCAGTAATATTTTTGTGCAAGTTTTCCTATTGTGTTCTTATTTCCAAGGTGTCCCGAAATTACTGAATCATGCATTTGTTGTATGATATAATTTTCATTGTTCCAGGCACTATAAGTTGCATGTATTGCCAAGTACCATTCAACTTACTGAAGTCTTTTATAAAAACCCTATTTTGTAAATGCAGGCATTCCCACAAAATCCAGTTATGTCTGCAGACTTGGCTCTCGGACATCTTATCCGAACTTATTCTGTTATTTGGCTTCTTAAATTGGTCCATTGTCAGTAGCTTGCTTCCTTGCTTGTTCGTCCGCCGCATTGATCCATCACCAATTGGGGTTTATTTACTTACATGGTCTTGAACGACCTGGTTGTGGTTCTTTGCCGGTTATTACTCGAACTTTTTGTTCTGTCATTACTTGTTCTTTAAGAGGAAATTCTTTAAAGTGCTTTCCTAACAAGTACTGTCGACAAAAATTGCGCAAAGAAAAAAACAACTGCGAGTTATTCTTTTTCTATTATGTAGTAGTTTCTTTCGGCTTTGTTCATTGCTTTGCTAGCATAAGCTAAAATCTCTCTCTTTCATCTTGTATTTGTTGAAAAATAGCATAAATTCCTACTCCCGATGCATCAACATCAAGCAAAAAGACTCCAACATTGTTCATAGGATATCCCATCACCTCTTTTTGTTTTAATAAGGCTTCTTCACTCCAGGTTTTTGTTTGGTGCCTTCTGGGTGCCCTACTTGGGTGTGTCGACTTGGATGTGTCGGGGGGCTGCGTCCTGTGAATGTTGCCTTTGCCTTGTTGATCTTTATTCTTGTTTTTTTTTCTTTTATTGTTGCAAATGAATTTTAGCAATGTTCATCACAAATAAATGCTCTAATTCTAAGTTCTATTAAAGGTCTCGAAATTCTAGCAAAGTCCTTAACAAAACGCCTGTAATATGAACCTGTTGGTACGAACTGCTTTGCCTGCTTTGCATTTTGGGGTTTCGGCCATTGTACAATTTTGGATATATTTGTAGGATCTGGTTTTATACCTTCTTTTGACACAACATGTCGAAGAAAATCAACTTCTGTTGCAGCAGATGACATTTGTCTTGTTTTAGTTTTAGACCAACATTTCTAAGTCGTCTAAGAATGTCCTCCACTCTACTGATGTGTTCTTCAAAATCAGCTCCAAATATGATAATATCATCTTTGTACATAAAAACAAGTAACCCATTGCAAACATAGAAGTGCTAAAATAGAGGAAAAAATAATCCCCTAAAAAGAGCGCAACACGGCAGAATTGAAAATGTTGCAGACTCTGTTTGATTGAGCCTATTCATGGACGGTACTGTCAACTGCAAACTACCGTACACGCACCTAGCACCGGCTTCAGCAGAATTTAACATTTAACATGAACTGGTACAATTTTGAAACATCGCAGATGTGTTCATATGGCGGTTATCATGGAGCTTTCAATGTGACACGTAAGTGTCATTCCATGAAAAGCGGCATATGGTCCCCAAGTAAAAAATGCGTGTGCCCTAACTGTTCTTTGAAACGTACTTGCTGCATTGTTTAAACCGAAAAGCATTCTAGCTATCCCATATTGACCGAATTTACATGAAAAAACACTTTTTGGAATGTCTTCTTTTTTTAAATGGAATCTGGAAATAACCACTTGTAAGATCTAAACTGCTAAATAAAGAAGAACCTGCTACTGCATGAAAAACTCTTCCACACGAGGGAGAGGAAAACCATCTGGCTTTACTAATGTATGCACCCTTTTATAATCGATACATGGAAGAATGAATCCCGATTTCTTCCGTATAAATACTATAAGACTTTGCCATGGAGGTGTCCCCTTTTAAATAACTCTTTTAGAAGGTCTTTGATTGCTGCCATTGGTTCTGCCGCATAAGCTTATGGTACTTTTCTAGGCCTCTGTTTTACTGGTGTGGCATTTCCTGTGATAATTGAGTGCTCTGTTAAACTGGTCAATCCAATATCCCATTCATTTCTAAAGAAGGTATCCCCAAACTTTACAAGCAACCCTGCCAGAATGTGTTTTTCATGCTCTAACTTTCCCTCTGCAGATTTCTTTTACAGTTCTTTGAAGATGCTCAGGTACCTCTTTTCTGCAGGAATTGTTAATTTACTTTCCACCTTTGGTTTTTGGTTTTGGTTGTCGACCTTTCTTATACTGTTATTGTTTTCAACTTCATGCCTATTTTCTTCATTTGCTATAATGCTAACAACCCTATCGATTCTGTCTGCAGGTGCTATCTCTGCGTTTTGTGTCAAAGATACCTCGCACGAAAAAGGATTCAGTATTCGCACTTTACACGTAGTGCCTTAATTAATATCTATCAAGGTTGATGCCATCAATAAATTTAACTTTCTTTAAATGAATCAGTAGGTTCTACCGAATAGTCTGCTTGACCTTCATCATCGTCTGTTTCTATCCTCTCAACTAATGATCAATAACTGCTTCCGATTGACCCGCAATGTTAACATCTTTTGCTACCACTACTTGCCTACTCTCTTTGTGTTTACCAATCTGGATAGTTGGAATCTCAATTCCATCCAAAATAATCTTATTTTTAATCAGTAGTTTATCTGTAGGTCCTTTCTTGCTTCCCATTTAAATATCAAAACCCAACAGAACATCATCCTCTATTTCAGCACAGCTTCACTGATGATCTCATATTGTTCTTACTCTAACTTAAAATCAGCTTTACCTCTCTCATTTATTGATGACCCACTTGCCCCTAAACACACATACTTTTGAAGAGGTAACCTTTTAGTTAAATCAATCATTTCATATATCTTGGAAAAAAACCAATTGTCTTCGAAGCCACTGTAAAATGCTGTGAACATCAGTCGAACATTCTCTACGGCTCCCTTCACATAGACACCATCACACAGGCTTCTTGCTCTATCAACATCGTCTACTTCTGTATTCTTTCTAGAATGACCCTTACCCTTCAAGCGGACCCCCTTGGTAACAAAGGTTGGCCCTTGGTAGTTCAAAGACTCAGTATTTGTTTGGATTTCAGTGTTGTTAATTCTGAACAGTCTCGTGCAAAATGGCCTTGTTGATGACAATTAAAACACAAAACTGTATTACTTTTGCTAAATCTTCGTCTGTTGGTATCTGGCTTGTTTCCTCCTGGTGATTTCTCTAATCTTTCCATTAATTTCTGCAACATCTGTTCTTGCCTCGTCAGTGGCAGTCATTTCATTGCGGTTTCTTTTCTCCGATGGCATTCTATTCTTTCTATCTGAACTTAAAACAGCCTCTCTCCACTTTTATCATCATTTTCAATAGAATTTTCTATTGCTCATCTTGCAAAATTTACTAAATTTTCTGTCGTGTCCAAAAGAAGCTCGAGTCTAAATGAAATTTACTGCATAAAATAGGGTTTCGTCTATTGTTGCTGGTTCTTTGTGATACTCAACCTCAAAACGCGCCTCAGCATCTCTCAATCTATCCAGAAATCTTCTCTTATATGTTAATCCCTGTATCCACGTGCCTTGTCATACAGCATTTTAGATCAGCCGAAAAACCTTCCACTGTTTTTCCTACATTTTGAGACCACCTTCTAAATTTTAATGCAAACTCCTTATTAGTTTCGATGACCATGAATCTGATATTCATTTCACGCACCAATTCTCTATAATTGGACAAAATATGAGGCTGGAGTTGTGAAAAAATAGAGAAAATAAGAATCCCTAAAGAAAGCTCAACACCGCATAATGAAAACATAAATTGTGCCGCCTCTTCTTCAATCCTTTGAAGTAGTTGGTTTAACTTATCTTCATCATCCCATTTACACGACGAGCAATTGCTTCGAAACGAGCAATCCATACTGACAAATCCTCTTTTCAACAAAAATATGGTATACGCAGGTTGTCATTATTTCTGTACTGTACAGCTGGATTGAAATATGGTCCTCTATTTGAACGATTGCAAACCTCACTAGAACCATAAAGTTGCCCATATGCGTCATATTATCTGTCATGATGATTGTAGTTTCTATTTTGCCCGGCTGAAACGGAACGACTTTGTGACGGCCTGTAAAATGACCCATCTTTATAATTTTTGGGACTTTCTTTCTGTACTTTTCACTTTATAGCGGCTGTCTCCTATTATCTTGCCTACCCGAAAAAAATGCTGTATGTGTGTCTAGTTCATTGAAACTTCTTGGCTAGCAACCCGAAACCTGGGTATTTGTAGAAACATGTTGCGCTTCTTAAAAGTTTATAAGCATATAGCGATTCACCTGTGTGTTTGTGTGTGTGTGTGTGTTTGTGTGTGTGTTATATAGATTATATAGTGAACTTAAAAAATCTTCTTGTGAAAAACCACTAGTCCAATTTCAACCAAACTTGGCAGGATTGTTCCTTAGATGAAGGGCTTCCAAAGTTGTTCAAAGAATTTCATTCCATGCAGAAATCTGGTTGCCATGACAACTAAAAGGAATTATAAGAATAAATTTAAAAAATCTTCTTGTAAAGACCCAAAAGGCCTAGAGCTTAGATATTTTGCATAAGGCATTGTCTGGTAGACCTCTAATAAGATTGTTCAAATTATAGCCCTGGGGTCAAAATTGGCCCCACCCCTAGGGTCATTGATTTTCACTATGTACATATAGTAAAAACCTAAAACACCTTCTTGTAAAGACCCAAAAGGCCTAGAGCTTAGATATTTTGCATAAGGCATTGTCTGGTAGACCTCTACCCAGATTGTTCAAATTATAGCCCTGGGGTCAAAATCGGCCCCGCCCCAGGGGTCATTGGTTTTCCTTATATGTATATAGTAAAAACTTTAAAAAAAATTCTTCTAGCAATTGACAAATGCTAGAGGTTAGATATTTTGCATGAAACATTGTGTTGTAAACCTCTAGCAAGATTATTCAAATTATAGCCCTGGGGCCAAAATTGCCCCCGCCCTGGGGGTCATTGATTACAGATATATACATTATATACATATAGTCAAAAATAAAAAATAAATCTTATTGTCTGAAGGTACAAGGCTTAGAGCTTTAATATTTGTTAAATAATATCATCTAAAGGTACTCTACCAAAGTTGTTCAAATTTTGCCTCTTGTGTCAAAATTAGCCCCGCCCCTGGGAGCCATAGGTTTATCTTAAATGTTTATAGTTAAAACTTAAAAAATCATCTTCTTTGAATTTACAAAGGACAGAGTTAAGATATTTTGCATGAAACATTGTGAAGTGAACCTCTAGCAAGATTGTTCAAATTATAGCCCTGGGGTCAAAATTGGTTCCGCCCCGGGGGTCATTGATTTTCATTATGTACATATAGTGAAAAAAATTTTGTCTGAAGGTTCAAGACATAGAGCTTTGATGTTTGATATATAATATCATCTATAGGTCCTCTACCAAAGTTGTTCAAATGTCAAAAATTGGCCCTGCCCGGGGGCAGTGATTCTCATTATGTACACGGAGTAAAAACAGAAAATGAAACAAATGTTTTCTGAATGGGAGAAAGCTATAGCTTAGATATTTAACTTGAAATGTTGTTTGGTGGACCTGTATCAAGATTGTTATTAAACCCTTGGGTCAAAATTATGCCTTGCCCAAGGGGACAGTGACCTACTTTCTTGTCCTTTGATGTACAGCAATGTAATTTTGACCATGTGCACAGTTTTAGTTGTAAAATTGAACTTTGACCTAGATTTTGATGATGTGACCTACTTTCTTGTCCTTTGATGTACAGCTATGAAATTTGAACCATGCGGTGGCATAGCATTTTTCTCAAATGCAATCTTGTTTAACTCTGTCACCACATCTTTGAGCACAATTGTCATAATTACCAAAATGTTATATTATGCACACAATTTCTATCTTGACTTTGCTTATCAGCTGTGCTTACTGCTATATTTGAGGTGGTTGGTAATCTGTATGAAGATTGGGAACAAACTAACATCACATAACTATTTTAAAGTTCTGATATGTCTCATTACTTTTACTGTATTGTGTGTTTTTAACTTCGGCTCCTTCAGACGTATTGAAAAATACAACCCCCTTATCGTCTGCTTGAGATAAAGTGTCCATGGTAGAGTTCCAGATTTTTATACCTCACAACAGCAGGTGTCAAGTGCTGTGTGGCAGATGTAAAATGTTGCCCCATACTTCACTTAAGTGTTGTTATATTTCTCTGGTCCTTCTGGATAATTGATGCCAGCACTATTAAGTGTTGAGAATTGTGTACCGCTCAAGCCGGTGTTAGGGGGCGTCAGGGATGTTGCATTTATTCATTATCCCTCATGTACAGACTCAATCAGACCGAGTCTGCAATTCCCTTGTAATTTTGTTGTGATTGATGCTTCCGATGGATCGCTTTGTTTCCAGATTTCTGTAAGACTTGTGTTCGAATCTCTAAATTCCGTCAGTACTGTAATGTAGAATTTCACTGCTGTGCACCAAGAAAGAAAGTGTTTCGCTCTGGCCGGCTTTAGTATTTCTTTGCTGAATTCCTCTTAGAGGTCTGTCCTAAAGTTATTTCTGGACACAAACGGTGGGAGTGTGGCTCGGATGTGGCTTAGCTTATTCGCAAGTTCCTAACTTAAGAGTACTTACATATACCTTTACTTAAACTATTTCTATTATAAGAAAAAATAAAGAGAAACAAAGAATCCCTAAAGAATAAGATTTAGTAAATTTAAACTTTACTTAAATTTTATCACTATTTATCTAATACATAATCATACAAGTACAAATGTTGCTGCAATGCAGCAATTGAGAAGCTCCGCGCAAAAAATGCGCTCACTACAGATACCTTACCAAATTATTCCTACGAACACAGGTCATGTTATATTCAGATTAAGTTCTATTGTAGATTTTTTCCGAATGTTTTGTAAACCATTTTTTGCATACTTATACTTATCTTATGAACTGTCCATAATTTAAAAGATGGGCTAGATATTTAATTTGGAAAAAATGCTTTCACTGATGCCTACCTGGTAAGGAAAGTAATTTCATTGAATACAAACAAGACTTACAAGGTTGCGTTCATTGAACGCCGCCTTTCCTTGTTGATCTTGTTTATCATATTTTGTAAATGTTATGTGACATGACTGTACTGTGTTCTGTTTGTGTCACTACTGTTTTCAGTAACATGAGATGATAAAAATATCAAAGTCTGTTTTTTTATTATTATAATAGTTACAAATATACAAATAGTAACAAAAGGGACTTATATTATAATATAGAAATATTACATGCATTTTTTTCATGTCAAATTAAAAAAAAAGGGTTTCTTTCAATACTGGTAGAAGACTTACCTGAATTATAGGCAGGTATGAGGAAGTTCACGAACATCATGTTCGAGCGAGTCAAAGATATAAAAGCTACTTGACATTGGTGATATATAAAAGCTATTGTTAATTGATTTATTGGGAGATCAATATAATTATTTGCTGAATTGCTTTAAAACCATTCATAAAAAAACAATACACCTCATGTTCAAACTGCAGATCAATGTTTCTGTTGTTACCAATGATGCGATATATCTATCTATAGCCTATGTTTAATGAGGGTCCATCCGCCCGTACGGGTACTTTATGCAGCTTTCACTGTCAGTACAGATCCCGGACATGTCAACAATCACAAAGTGTTGATAATTTACATCCGTGCATTACCAATGATGTCAATGAAATGTAACCTTATATACTAAAGTTATCATTATTTCAAAACAACCAATATATCAACATGTTATCATCAAACATTTAGTGTCATAAATATAAATTAGGAATAATTACCAAAAGCAAAATTATTAAAGTCTTATGCCTGAAATCTTCTTTATATTGACAAATTTAATCACTAATAGTATACTTTATGATATGCTGTGTGTAAATCATTTAATGTAATTCAAAATGTAACAAATTATAATTTCATGTACTACTAAAAAGGGAAATAACAAATTGTCAAAAAAAAGTGTCAAAAATCAGAACATTTATAGCTATTTATAGCTTTCAAATATTCATGTACGGCAGAACTGCTTTCCGGTTCTCATTCATTAATATGACATGCTGCGAATCACCAAAGAGGGAACCAATATAATAATCGGAAGGTTTTATTGAATCCGAATTTATTTTCAGCTGTAAATCGAAGGGATTAATTGATAAAATCCGAGCCCATGGACAAAAAAGTAGTAAACACAAATAGGCGGGGTGCAATGAATAATAAATCCTAACTATCAAAATGTCAGCAAAACACATATGACATGACAAAGTCCAAACAAAGTAGTGTAATTTTTAAAAGTTTGATTTGTGTTAAAAAGCTTAGTGTAATTAAGCTTAAAATGCAAACAAATCCGTCAACAAGTCTTAGTTTAAACCATAAACTCTTTATTTCAAATGATAACTTTTACTTTAAAGCTACATTAAATAAATCTGTAAAAATATTTTTGCCGTCGGCCTAAAAACCAAGCATTCTACAGTTTCATTAACCTTTTTAACAGTATCGTTGTAAATCTCTTCAAATATTGTTCATAAATAAGGATTTTAAATGGAAAACCCCACGGTAACACTAAAGTTCGTATACGAATTTTAACATGCAAATGAAGACTATACATGTAATCAGCTCGTGTATGCGCTACGTCACGGTGTTATAGTTGCTATCCGGAACACAGCAAATATATGATTTTCTTTTGCAAATACGCTTTAACCGTTTAAACTTCACGGTGCACTAGGTTCAGAAAAAATAATAATCTCATTAAAAGATTAAATTTGTATGAAAACATCCGTTACAAAGCGGAAATATACCGTTAAATTAGGACTGCTATTTATAATCATGTTTGTTGATTTAACATTGATGTACGGATGATCTGAAGGCGGAGTTACTCATGCAAACAGAAATTGTACTTCCGAATTCACCACAATGAGGTTGCACATTTGTATACTCATTAAACTCATTTTGGTTGTCTGGACACCAAAATAAGATCTGGAGTCGATATGAAACCAAATTTATTAATACAATGTCGCTATTTCTTTTTATGAAATTTATTAAATGTAACTTTAATTGTCTGATAAAAGATCTATTCATAAACGCACAGAGAAAAAAATAATATTAAGTTGACTAACAATGCAGAAAAAAAGATTTACTTTCAAAACTCAAGCGGGAGTCTCAGAAACTTCTTCTATTATGTACAAATGTCAAAATACATGTACTACTTTGTTTACATTTTGCTACCTTTATAGCAAATAATTTCACACTCAGCACTACTTTTTTCAGATGCTAAATACTCTATATCTAGTATTAAAATATAATTACCAGAAACCTACATCACTTTTCAATCGCAGTTTATTTCTTTGGTTGTGTTTTTATGTCGCAACAATATGGCGACTTTCCAGCTTAACTGGTGGAGGAAGACCTCGGGTGCCCCTCCAAGTATTATTTTTGGCACGAACGGGCACCCGAGTAGAACCACCGATGTTCCGTTAGCTAGCCTGATAACTTCCTAAAATGAAAAATCCAAGTCCCTGGTTAGATTCGAGCCCACACCGATTAGGGGGTGGAACTTAGTACGTACTACTGATGTGGTTGTTTAACCCTCATATGGACAGAAAGAAAACTCTTTAATCACAATGCGTTTTTGTTGGTCCCGTGATATGGATGTTTAATCCTAATATATATGGACTGCCTAAACCCCACTCATATAAACAACCTACTAACCTGTCTGACCTACAATTTAAAATTGAGTATAACATAAGTAGGAGATAAAAGTTGTGTAATTTGGAAAAAAAATAATGTACAGAAAAAGTTGAAACAAAATCTAGACATTGTGTTTCATGTTTGTTTATGTCCTCAATATCGTCTATAATACGTTTACCTATTTACTTATAACTATATCCTTTCCAAATCCTCTCGTTCTTTTGTCAGGCTTAATAAGTGTATTTATTTTTTATATACAGGAGATCTTGATTCAGATAGTTCCTGCGGCAAGGAAACACCAGGTAATGGTTACTTGTATTTCTTATGTTTAAAGCTTGTCAAACTATTTAACTTTCATGCACGGTAGATACATTTATGTGGTCCGCTTGGTAAGCTCGTGTTTTTCAACACTAGTCAGGGATGGATGAAAATTTAAACTTGCTGAAAAGTGAATATTTGATAACAGAGTATCATATCCTCCAACTGGTATTTTTCTCTGTGACTTTTTGTACATTGTATATAATTACATAGATACGTCCAGTACATTTTATGAAAAACGTTTGTTGGAAAAATGGATTTAAATATCTATAGCATGTGCTACCATTGGTCAAATTTGTTATCAAATATTCTTCTTTTTGTTCATTTTCCATCTTTCTTGCTCGATTGCAGCAAGTTTGATAACATTCCTCACCAAGGTCATATTATAAAAAAGCCTGTAGTTATCATCTTTTTTGTCATTATGTGATAGTACATGTACAAGCTGGGAAATTGAAGATAACAGTAATTTCATGCGGGTCCTTACCTGGGAATATTGTTTTTTACTATTTTTATTTCAGTTGCAAACATATGTCAATTTTCGGGAATATCCAACACGTCATGGGTCTTCGTCTACATTTTAAATTATCCTGGTCAGAATAAACGAACGTGCACATGCTCTTTATCACCGACATCCTCAAATGTTAGGATATTCCTTAGATACCGGAAACAAACACGATCAACTGAGAATATCAATCTCAAAATCAACGATTTTGAGTTTGGCACAGATATAACCACAGTCCTAACAGAAATAAATGAATTGATACTGGAAACGAATCCGGTGTTTAATGATAGTGAAGAGGTTTGCCTATTAATAACAGCAGGTAACATATTTTTTAAAATAACATTCATCACGAAAATTATCATTATAGTCTCAATATTTCAAAGGACGCTACTGCTGAATTTAGCTCCGTAATTTTATTTTACTTTCCAAATTTAATAACAAAATACATTTCTGCGGCAGACTTTCATCAATTAAAACGTCACTATAGAATTAATAAAACTGTAGGCCTATGTTTATTGCTGTAATAGAATAATTTTAAACTTAGAGTTTAATTCCTGTGTGAAAAAGACCGATACAATTTTTTTGCAAGGTGTTTTCGTTATCCTCTACATGTTCTCCTGAAAAACGAAATTTGCATAAATCCCACATGTGTGCACTTTTGTTATACCACATACCTGCATTTCTCTCTCGAAAGTTGCCTACCGAATTTAACACTCTGGTTGTAAACTTATAGAATATATCCTAAGCACAAAATTTTAATGAATGTTTACTTCTAGATGTATTGAAATAATTACAATTATAGTTGTAACTTTTGACTTTAAGATTTATTGACAGCTTTTGTTAAGCGTGAAATAAGGTATCATATTACAACACAAAATATTTATTTCATCTTTCATATTATCATACAGAAGAAGATAGAACATTCAATATATCTTGTGATTATCCAACATCAGACGGTACAGATTCGGACACTAACATAGTTGGTAGGTATAAAAACATGAATTATTCTAGTAAGATTTTGACAAACTTTGAATGGGTTCTGTGTCCTGTACAGATCTGCCATTCATTGATATTCATCCAGGTATGGTGAGAAACCTTATCAGGCCTAATTAATTCCTCTTACCAACAAACGCAGATAAATTCAGTAAAAGATAGAACATAATAAAGTTTTGAATAAATTTTAAGGGTGTACGTGATTTGATAGAAACTTGTCTACAATGTAAATTGATGCATGACATTGCATTCATCTAGTTCCCACTTGAAAATGAATAATCTGTAGTAAAGCTATTATGTAATATGTTGAACAGGTTTATATATGACTATAATTAAGTGCTACACACTTAAAAATTTAAAATTGTATCGGAAACTGTTTTTAAATTTTGTGTTTCGTTCGTTGATTTCAAAAAAATATCAATGAATTTAACCATAACTTTCAAGCATGTCAAAATATTTTTTTTCAGGAGTTGTCATTGGCTGTGCCATTGTTGGTGTAATTGTTATTGTCATGGTAGTCCTGAATATTGTGATTTTAAAAAGGTTAGTACTTATGCGATATACGTACATGTGTATAATATACTTACATGTATATAACCGTTGTCCTTACCCTAGTCAAATGTTTGGGTTATCTTGTTATAAATATTTTTGACTTTTTAATTATCAAAAAAGACAGTGCACATACCAGTTGGAGGATAGGATAGTCTGTAATCAAATATTCACCGTTTCGACAATTTTGCAGCAAGTTTAAATTTTCATCCGTTCCTGTTTAGTGTCGGACAACACGAGCTTACCAGGCGGACCACATAAATGTATCTACCGTGCATGAAAGTTTTAACGATCAGTTTAAACTTTGTCAAGAATATTTATAATTTTTTTAACCAAAAGTTTTTGAATAAACAAAACTGAAATTCGTAATATATATCATGATAATCCAATTTACAGTTTCCATCACTAACCATGTGTGACATAACAATGTGTGGGACATATTTTTAGTAAATTTATTAAATATTTGTTAATATTGTACATTCAAGCACGCGAAACTGTATGATTATGTAAGAATCAAATTTAGGAATGATTTGACAAGCTTTAAACATAAGAAATACAAGTAATCATTACCTTGATTTTCCTTGCCGCAGGGAGTATTTGAATCAAAAGTTCCTGTTTTTAAAAAATCAAATACACTTATTATGCAGGAGAAAATAACGAGAGGATTTGGAAAGAAACTAAGTTAAAAGTAAATAAATAGACGATATACAAGACATGAACAAACATGATACACAATGTCTAGATTTTGTTTCAACTTTTTCTGTAGATTAAATGTATTTCATATCTTATGATAGTATTCGGTCACATGGAAATTAATATTCCAGAGAGAAAATATGATTTTTTTAATGGTTTTCGATTTTTTTCCAAACTACACAACATGTATCTCCTTCTTATGCTATATAGTATACTCAATTTTAAATTGTAGGTCAGAAGAATTATAATAGACAACAAAAGTAGTATATTATATTATTAATACTATAAATAAAAAACTATGCCATGACAATAGAAAGGCCAATCTCATTTAATATATACTACATCTCATGAGATGAATATAAAAACACGTAACGCGTAAACTGTTGACTACATAATTTTATCTTAAACATTTAAATGATTGCGTTGATCACGTTAATATTCTACAATGCAAACATATGCTTTTAATTTGAATTTAATTCGCTTAAAGTGAAATTCATATTCAAGCTTTCTGTAGCACAGTCTCTATATATTTCTACGATTCTATTTAATAGATAACATTACCATATAAAATGCTTTTAAATCTTTACAGGAAAGCCAACAAAAAGCGGAAAATAAAGAAAACACCAAAACTGTCACAGGAAGAGAATGGAGCAGCAACAAGAAACGCCGAAGATGATAATGATTATTATATGACAGAAAATCCTATGTATAACATGTTTGAGCCTACAATGGATAAGAATGAGATCCCTGAATATGCGTTGGTGCACAAACATGCACCGAATGATGAACAGCAAAGTATGGAGGACTATGATGATAATCCTATGCCAGGTATATACGACTGTATACCAGACTCACCAAATGATGTAAGTCAACCATTGGTGTCCGAGCAAACGGACGAAAAAAACATAAATGACCTTGAAAAGTTTGGGACGGCTGACTGACAGAGTAGTAAAAGTTCCTTCGCAAACAAGATTAGATATTTTAATAATTGCTGCTATTTTTATGAATCATACATGATATAATGATTCAAAATGGCAAAACTCTTGAAATATGAAAAAATGTGAACAAAATACACGTATAAGTAGCCGAAAATACGAAAATGAAATAACTAGGAGCTGGGCATCTGCGAGCTTGAACTCTATAGATTCGTCCTCGTGCTTCTTGAGATGTGAATGCACGAAGAGATGCATCAACTCTAAAATATTGTCGTAAAATGAAGTCATATTCTATTTTAATATACTTTTTGCTTTGCATTGTTGTTTTTAAATTGAAAATTAAACAACTTTTAAGTCATTTATTGTAACATATTTCAGATTAAAAAAAATTGTGAAATGCATGATTTATGTTGTGCTACATTATTTGGCAAAAATCACAGGCAGATAAATGTTTTTAAAGACAAGACGAAACTTAAGCAAATGGGTGGCATCTTGAAACAGTTAATTTGTAAGCACACTGAAATAATAGGTTCAAAAATCAACAAAAGAGATGTTCAAGTACCGTACCTTTAGTAACATCTGGACCACTGGATTTTCATCAGTAGCACGCTATAAAAACGTTGACCTAAACCGTAGTTTAATTCAGATAAGCTTATAAAATGTTAAAGCGTTCAGTTATTTCAGTAAAACACAGTAGAGATCATATGACGACTATCCAGCTTTACTGGTGGAAAAGGATCTCAGATGCCCCGCAATGCATTATTTGAGGCACGAGAGGGCACCTAGCTGAGTAGAACCGCAAACGTTCCTTAAGCTAGCTGGATAGACCAAACGATGGCATCAACATAGTTATAGGAAATTTATTTGAATAAGTTATAAAGATAAAACAACTATTGATAAAAGATTATATTGAAATTGTGCTAACATAATCGCTCAAGTGAAAAGGTGATATATTTAACAATAAAAACATCAAATTATTTTAGTAAAATAGATGACAGAATGAAAACTGTAACAACTGTTCAAATGTTTCTTCAAAATGCCATAAAAATCAGGAAATTATCCCTCTCTCATTCATAAAAGTATTTTTGTTGTTAGTTAATTCCTTAATGGTGTAGTTCTTATTCCCAATGTCAATTATTTGATGGTATATGACAACATGATGTTCATGAATCCCTTTGTCACATGTCTGCTGGACATCCACTTTTAACTACATTTGTATCTTTTGATTAATTATAGTAATCATGCATCAGAGGGGTGTTTTATTGGATTAAAACGATGATCATAAACAACCTTTCCGTCCCATTATTGATATTAAAACCAGTCCATAGACAGATTTTGGATAAGTCCGTGCTTATTTTATTACAGGCAGCATAAAAAGCATCACGTGCCATTGCATAAAGTGAAATTATAACAGAATGTATTCAATTATTATCTTATGTTTATTTAATCTGTTAGTTTTGGGCTGTTCTGGCTATGAAACAATGGACGATAATAATTACTTATATAGATATCTGAGACAGGAGCGACAAAAACAAATTCAAGACGCGGTGAGTTTTACTTTTACTGATTTTATGATATTTTATCTCAATTATTTATTTATCTATTTATGTATTAATTAATAATTTATTTATTTATGTATGTATGTTTAATTTATTTATTTCTACACTATCCGTTCATATATTTTTTATTAACTATTTATATTTAGTTTGTTTTGTTTTATTCACAAAAATGAATAGATAAAATATACCAGTAAATTAATATACAATGTTCACTTTACTGGCATAAACTTCTGTCCATTTAGTCAACTTTTTTTCTATCTGTTTTTTTTTTCTAATTCAACTAACATTCGAATTGTCTTTTTATCTATCATTATTCAATCAAAACTTATTCTGTTTACTCTACTTATAATGAGATCAGTTTTAACGAGGATACCGCTTATAACGTTCATGCTACTGTCTCTTGCAGCTTTGATGAAGTGAACTTGGGCAATGGTTATTGTTTTATTCTTTCATTGCAGTGCCTGTACACTGGGGAGTCTTGTATCCCCGGACCACATCAATGTTGCGAGGGTCTATGTCGGAATCGTTTCGGGCACGTTTGTCTGTACCCACTCGAACCGTGCTACTGTATGAAGCCAAGCCATTCTGGAGATGTCAAAAAAACTTTCTATGAATGATAATGTTCTCGAATTCTTACAAAATATAATATCTGGATTTTTCACGGATGCACAAATACATGTAGTTTGTTTTTTTTTCTTCCGGAATTACAAAGTTTTTTTTATAACCGGGTTGACATATAAATGTGAGATCTAACATTAACTGATGGCACAAACTGTAATTTTCTCAAACATTGAAAGAAATATCTAAATAGATGATATTTTTGCCGACTCAAAACTGTTATGTTTTGATATGCATGTAAAAACAATGTATTTTCATCAAGTATTTCGAATGAAAATATTGAAAAGACATTGAATAAATACATTGTAATTCTATATGCATATCGTTTACTTGCCCATACAGAGATACTTTTTTTTAAACTGCTCATAAATGTATGTGTTTATTTGAGTGTATTCATACTCGAGTCCTTCGTAAGAGTATTAGTCATTTTATATTTTGGAGGATGGTGCAAATAAATTCCAGAAGCTTCTCCTGGTTCTTTAGCATGACAAGTGTTTAATTAAGTACGCATACATTTCGATTTAAAGTCTCACCGAAAGTATCCGATTAGTAATTTTTGTTGGCCAGCCCGGGAATCGAACCCACAATGTCGAGATTACAAGTTTCGCGCTCTAACCGATTGAGCTATGCTGGCTGGCAGCTCTCATAAATGGTGATACCACAGTTGTCTTATAGACTGTTCATGTGAATTTTAAATCATAGTCAAACCTGAACATTTTTTTTACAAAACACATGCCGATCATTATTCTGTTGCAAAAGTTATACATATCACAACAAATACTAACTGTTGTTGAAAAATAACGCTCTATGAAAAATCCAGTCCAATTGAAAAATGACGCCATTCTTTTCAATAATGACAAATGTTAAGAAATAGTTAATATCGGCTTAATAAGAAATATTTTATTTCATTAGAACATAAAAAAGTACCCATTTGTTAATAAAGATCATATATTGACAACTTTTGCCTTTCATATTTGAAATAGGATATATTTCACGTGACCTACATCCCTTATTAAACTAAAATTCTATGACAAGGAAGTCATAATATTATGTCCCTGTTAGTGATGGTATAAGAAGGCGTGCTAAGCTTCTAAAAATACTCATGCTTTCCATTAAGTTTCTCTTTAATCCGCATTAATATTCTAGCGTTTATGATAACGTCCGACTTTGTCATCAATAGAAAAATAATCTTTTGTGTGTGTGTTGAGTTTATTTACCCTCGCCACCGGTTTAAAACCATATGGGCGAGCATATGCTTCATTTATTATAGGGAAAACACTTTATTTAGTTAATATCTGCATATGTGACTAGTGAGTACAATATTTCCTGTCCCAACAATGCAAAATAATTGCATTGGATGGGGCCGGAAAACGGTGGGATTATATCCCACACTAAGATTAAAAAGCTGTATTTAAAATTTAAACTTAAATTAAAAAGGGGGGAAGACGCTTATACGCGGACGTCTTTTATATAGGGAACAAAAAAAACCCCTAATAATTATGTTTAATGACAGCTTCATTTATTGCAAAACATATTTATAGTGTTAAAACAAATATTAAAAGGGGGGGGGGGAAGACGCTTATACGCGTACGCCTTCTATAACAGACCAACACAGTTAGATTTGTAGATCTTAGTTTTTTTTTAAAACTTTATTTAACACATGAGAAGGTTTATAAGTATAAACCTTAGCAACCCGCCTGAGAACATAGTTTTTTACAATTTGGCCATCATTTAATACAAATCCTTATTGTAGGGAGAACAATGCAGAAACGATTTTGACAGATAGCGCCGAACCACGTTTAGTAAGTAAATTTTGATTGGCCGAAAAATGGTGTGATTTGTAAGGCTAATTAAAAAGAAGTGATAAGAAATGATTGGTTGATAGTAAACAGATTTCATTGGCGCATTTACTATCCGATTTTGGAGCTTAGCTTGAAGAATTTTGTGATCTAAACCACGTGGTCTCTGTATTGACATTTCTGCACTGTCTCCCATATAATGCTAAAAATAGTAACAACGGTGTCTGTTGGAGACCAACTACGACACCGCTGTTTAATTATTTAAAAACAAGAAGGGGGATAGTACTGATATAGTTGGAACATGATCTTATAAGAATAACAATGATATTCAGTAATTATATTGTTATTCTAGACTCTCTATAGACCTATACAAAAAGAATATAGAGAGATAGAAAATTTGTACCCTGAAATGGCTATTAATAAATTGCTTGGTTACTTACAATGTGATGAGTACTGCTTTTTAAAGAGAAAAAAGCTGCCTCATACTTGTTCTACTCAATGAATTAACGTATGCTCCATTTTTGTCATTGAGTAGATCACAGTATAAACTGTTTAATATAATATTTGTTTATATAGGTACAATCTGATATGGAGTCTTTGCTAACATTAAGGTTGTCATTAAGAAAAAAAGAACAGCATTGTAATCCATAATGCTGTTCTTTTTTTCTTAATGACAACCTTAATGTTAAATTAAATAATCTTAATAAAGTTATATGAATATTTTTCATACTAACAAGAATAATATGACTAATGATGCTTGTTTTTTTCTTCTGTATGTCTCCTATGATATACTTTACCCTGCTTACCAGGAAGTTTTGTTTCATCTTTTGAACTTTTACGCAATTAACATGAATTGTTTACATGATTGGATAAAATAGTTATTACATTATCACACTGTTCAAGTTTGAAATTGTTAATGTTAATGCACTTAGCAGTAGATGTGTGATATTGTAAAACAGAAACGGATAAACATGCAAGTGACAAAAACGTTGGTGTATTTGTTTCAAATAGTGGTTTACCTTTGTCAAGGTATGTACGTTTATTTTATCAGATATTTCTATTATTGAAGTATTGTAATTTTTTTTATTACCGCACCTTTCTCAAAATTATCAATTGTAGCTCGTAATTTGATAAGATAGAACTTGATCCTTGAATGTTTTTAACGGCAGTGAATCTATCTGTAGTATTTGTTACAAGTGTATAAGGTTGTCTACTACACCCCTAATTATTTTAGGCATTTTTATTTCCTCCACTTTTATTACCGTTTTCTGTCTAAAATAATGCAATTTTCTTACAATTCTTACAGTAATGTTCGGATTCATTTGGCACTTTTGCCAATGTAAAGTATTTAGCCTGTTATCTCTCTCAATTATTTTATTTCTTGTCACAAGTGTTTTATTAATAGCCACGTTGGTGACATCAGTTTATAACGCCAAGCTTTAACGTGTGAAGATTTGATGACATAAACAGGCAGAATCGCTCTGACTGCAATAGCGATTCATCGTTGTTTTTCATTTTCAGAACTATTCCGATAATTGTAATTATTCATTTTTTCTGTGTGTGCACAGTGATAAATGCTTTCTTATTTCATACAGTTCTAAAAGAAAATTTTGCATTTTCATTTCTTTAAGTAAGGTAAGTTTAAAAATAGTCATGTGGTTCAAACTAAGAGTTTTTGTCCCCCGTTTACTTATTTTTTAAATCATCTCCTAATAAATTTTGCAGTCAATTTTGCTGACTTTCAGTTATAAGGTAAAGATATATATTTACTAGGTACTAAAACTGTCCTGTCATGTTTTTTTTTGTAGTAGATAAGGTGTCTGCTTGAAGCTTTCTGTCGAGGAATTGTATATTCGGGCATGTTGGTAATGGCGTGTATGATATCAGTAGGCAGTTCCGTTCATTTGATTAAAATGTAATTGATATATAGTGTTCCAAAAACGAGCTAACCCTTATTCTGCTGAAATCGAAAGAAAGTGATTAACCTGTATCTTGATATCCCTTTAATGGAACAGATAAAAAAACGGAAGCTTGGCAAGTCTTTTTAAAACGTAACAAACAAACAAGCAAACAAACAAACAAACGAACCAACTAACTAACTAAATAACTAACTAACTAAAAAACAATAGAAAAATAAACTAAACATTATATTAATTTTTATTTGATTCGTAAAAAATATCCTATTATCAGAATAAATGTTGATCATTTTATTTTCTACAATATTTTAATGAAAACATACGAGGGTGCAATAATATAAAGCATGTTCATATTTTAATTTCCTTATTCGTGATGCATTCATCTATGAGCTGACCATCTGGTAAAAGTATATATCTAACATTTTATCCTCCTTGATAAACCCTTATGCATGACTTCCTTATTTTTTAAGATAGCATCCACTTACCTCTTTTTCCCCATTCTGTATTAGTTCAAAACTGAAAACAAGTTTATTCACTGGAAAGTAAATTTACAGTGTCATATGAAGTTTGTACGTTGGTCATAAGAACAATCATTTTCCTATTTTGGAATTCACGTAGAATAGTAAACTTTCTCAATTTTGGTGATAAAGATTAATGTCCATAGCTTTAAATAACGTGACAACTGTTCGTTCATGATATATGGTTATATTATCTATAAAACAGAAACAAATGGTGACGTGAGTCAATGTGGTGGAAGAACTCCAGGTAATGTATTCAACAAAAATCAAATTTTCTTCTATGCCCCCATATTAAATATTTACTAATTTAAAGATAAATATACTGACGTGTAAAATTACAAGACAGATCTGCTGACTTTTTTCTATATAAATCAATGAAATACACGAAGGGGAACACGTAATGCGATTTGATTTTTATATACATAATTCTAATCTTGTTATGACATAAAATACATTTTAACATCTTCATCATTATAAGTTATAAAATTACAATCGTACTAAGGATGAGGGAATAATCAAATGTACTAGAGCTTAGAGATTTATTTTAGAATTAATGTTTGTTCCAAATTTGAACAAATTATACTTGAAGCATGAACACACATAAGTCGTTGTTTCTTTTCTTTATCTTTTTACTTTTGCATATTTTCCACTTCTTTTAATCGTGTGTCTCATTATACAATGCATATTATTTCAGCTGTTCGTATCTGCAAACACTCGGAAGTAACTATGGTTACAAAAGTTTTCATAGAAACTGCCTATGTACCGCCACGTCAGAGAAATAAATGTAAATGCAATGTAACACCAGCATTATTGAATAGCAGCGTTTCACTGTTTTACCGGAAGATTTCGCGGGAAAGTAAAAACGTTTATTTCAAATTTCAAGACATCATCTTAAACAAAACAGAAGAACGTGCTAACTCAACCCTTACTAAAGAAAATGAGCTGGTTTTGGAAACAACATCTGATTTCAACACAAAGGATGTTTGCCTTATTATTTCCACAGGTAAACTGTTTCAGCGCTGTCGCGTCGAATCAAAAAAAATAAAAATAAAAAATAAAAACAAAATAAAAAACAACAACATTAAAAGGTTTTGACATTCATGACATTATTCTGAGCTGATCATACTACAGGTGAAATAAAACTAATAATTTCCTAAATGTCCTGCACAATTAAACAAGTACATGTTCATTACGACAAATCACTTGTTTACTAAGTTTAAAGCAGATTGCCAAATAAATTCAAATAAAAAATATTCTTTTCTTTCTCATTAATGATAATACAAATGAAAAGTTTTTCTGCTTGAATTTCCTTCAGAAGGGGTTTTAAATTCAGATGATGAATCAAAATTCAATATATTCTGTGAAGAGTCACAATGGGCTGTTACACAATCCACGGTTCCAGAGATTACGATTAGTGAACTTAAGACAAGTACAAATTCAACATTAGAAAATAGCAGTGATGTAGATATTTGTACTATTGGTATGATGCGAGGGGCGTTTATAAAATTTCTATCTAAATCACCAATATCTCTCTAATTTTGTTATGATAAATATGAAACCTAAATAGATTATCAATTATGGTCTGAATTCAGATTTTGAAAATATATAGATTCACAAGTTCACTAGAATGACTGATTGTCTTTCATATAAAAATACTATGTAAATTCCTGACGTAGGATGATATGTTTAAAAACTGAAAAACTGTTTAGGATATATGATTATACCTAAATTTATTTCTGACATTTCGTTTCAATTTTTGATAGTACGCATTCTCAACTCGACTTTTTTTAAAGTTAGATGTTTTTAAGTCCATGTGTTGATATATCCAGGCTGTTATAATAATAAATGTCTTTCATTACATTTTAAATCAGTGAAACCTTTTCAACAGATTCATTACATAATCTTACTCGTTGATGTAACTTATATTTCAATGTATTTCAGGTATCGCTACTGGCGGAATTGTTTGTGTTATTGTGGAACTTGTTGCAATTCTTATAATTTGCTACAAAAGGTTGATTGTGTTTATTTCAAGAGTATGCTGTTCCTGTTTTGATATATACTGATAGCTGTGTTTTAAAGTTTTAGTGGTGCACAAAGAATGCACACTTGTTCAAAAGAATGCAAAACAATATGACAAAGAAAGAAAAACATTTAATTTTATTTTTACATCAAATAAGATGAATTAGGATGTTATTTTATTCAGAAAATACCCTTTCTATGTCATGCATTTTAGTTAAACAAATCTGGAAACAAAGTGATCCCTCTGAAGCATTAATCACAACAAAATTACATGAAAATTGCAGACACGGTTTGACTGAGACTGTACATGAGGGATAATGAACAGTGCAACACCCCTCACTCTCTAGCACCGACTTGAGCGGTACTGAAATCTCAACACTTAATAGTGTTACCATCAATGATCCCAAAGGGCCAGAAAAAATCTTTTAAAATTTAATCAGGAATAAAAATGTCTTTATTTAAAGATGTATGATGCTTAATTTGATATTTGAAAATACTGAAACATGCTATACAATCTCTTTTTAAGGTAGAATTAACATATTATGAAAACACAAGAGATTATACATTTTGTGTTAATCTATACACACTCCAGATAAACTCAATATGACAAGTGTTTGCCTCTCAACCGAGAGATCTTTGGTTCGAGCCCTATTCGGATCACGACCATGTTTCTTCATATGACAGTAGTACTGGTTGGATCCAGGAAGCGGACTCAAACGTGATAAATATAAGTTACAAGAACTTGTTTCGCAATCGGGCTTAAATAAATATATTTAAACCGAATAAATACATGTATAGTATTATAATAATAAATGACATGTAAAAGAAAAAATAAAGTACTTAATTTACTGGACCAGTAATAGGGAAATCAGCTTCCTAAATATTGTTAGTGCAATCTTTTATTCAAAATAGACAAATTCAGTAAAAAAATGTCAGGAAACCAACTAGTATCTGTAATAAACGTATCTTACAGGATAAATGTGCATAGTAGATCTTTAAAAAAGAGTTGCAATTTCAATTGTTATGTCGACTAGTAATTTGGATTTATCATTAATTATATGCAGGGGAGCCAAGAAACAGAAGAAAAATGTGAGGACACCAAAACTATCACAGGAAGAGAACGAAACATCTGCAAGAAACGACGAAGATGATAATGGTTATTATATGACAGAGAATCCTTTGTATAACGTGACTGAACCCATAATGGTCAAGAATGAGTCCCCTCTATATTCGCTGGTACAAAAGCGTGCACCGAATAATGAACAAAGAATGGAAGCATATGATGATAATCCAGACTTACCAAATAACTTAACGCAACATTTGGTGTTCCAGCAAACTGGCGAAAACAGCATAGTTGACTTTGAATAGTTTGGTGACGCTACTGACAGTGAGTGCACTGAAATCCGATACGTCGATGTTGTCAGTGGTTTTTACAATAAAAAAAATGATGTTTAAAACTTACTGTAATACCGTCATTTAATTCTACATCGTACATTTATGATAACAGAAAAGGTTACCTAAGAAAGTTAAATTTTTCATTTTTTTACATTTTTTGATATTAATTATGCTATTGACATTGAATGACACGTTAATGTTTTATGATCACTATCTTAGGAATACATCTGCGGATTTTGATACAAATTAAAACATATCATTTTCTACTATTTATTACTGCTAGTGCTAGTGTCAGTGGGCGGAATTGCTTGTTTTAACCACTGACGTCTTTATACAGGCTCAATTAAAGCGAGCATGCAATGTCGTACGGGCCGACCAATGCGGATTTGTTATTTCACATAACTCTAGTTTTCAGACGGAAATATATAACGACAAATGTACAAATGTTCAAGAAACATTGAAAACGTACGTCTTTAAGTACTTCTTTTCCTTTTTTATTGTCAGATATATACTGTGATCTATAAACTGTAGTGTTTTGAACTGTGGATAGGAAATTTTGTATATAATTACTGAACGGTTGACTCTCGGTAACTCGAAATCCAAGGGACTGGGCATTTTACTTCGAGAGAAACGGAATTCGAGTAAGGTGGATCTGCCGCCATTACGTTGACATTCGTACATTTGTACATGTATATACATGTGCCTGATTGAATGTACAAAGAAGTAGGTTTATTATTGTTGATAGCGACAATGCTACAATATTTAACTGTTGAAATGACGGTAAATCACTTTCAACTACAAATTATGAACAAAAATATATAATTCAATACATGTATATTAATAGTGAAACATAAACACAAACATTCGTAGCAATGACATAAATGAAAGTTTGTCAGTATTCATCAGTAAAGCACATGTTTATAATAAACACTCATGACATATCATTACAATAAAAGCACAATAAAACTTTTATTTCAACAACAATTTATCTAATATTTGAAGTGAATTGATCATCGAACGAAAAACAAAAGTAGCAACTATCGTGAACCGGAAGTACATATTAATGTATGCAATATGACGGAACATTAATTATACAAATGTCATTGACGTTGATAACACACATCAATACCTAGGCTGTGTTTGTACTAACACCTGTCAGACTGGCACGAGTCTTAATTTTGTTATCTAACTGTGAAAACCAATTAAGTCCTGAAACCGATTAAAGCCACTTTTATGTCGTGTTAATAATACATGATGACCGGCAATTAAAATTTTATTGGAACGTGTGAATCACAAGAGACAACATCTCACCTTGATGTTGCCGACCTTGATCAGTCGGCTGTTTTCACAATTCGACTAATTGAGATGTAAATATGTTGGACTTTAATTGACGGGACCAAATTTTCTTTTCGACTAAACAGGAGTCTCGGTAAGTCAAAATTTGACCTAAGCGGAGTGAAAATACAAAGATAAAGAAGGAAATTTGACGGGACTTATAAATACTTCGACTTACGCGGAATTTCGAGTAAAGCGATTTTGACTTAATGAGAGTCACGAACACTTTTTTTATACCTTTCATTACATGATGTTAATGTATAATAGTGAGTAATTTTATTTACTAATATTAATGCCTTTTAGATATTGTAAAACGCCATTGAACATACGTAGAGATAAGCGTGTAATCGAATTTTTCAAGTTTCATGTAGATAAAGGGTATAATTTGCGTTTTTAATATCTAGATATATGTTTTAAAATTCAGTAAACATAAAAGTGGGAATGTAGACAATCACTTCATTATATTAATTTGTGTTTCTTCATTTTTACGAATCGAAACTGATGATAACGCAATATATAAATGGTCAATGACTTGCAAATACATATCAGATAAGAGACAGAGCTCTTAATAAACTTTACTAAATATACAAATAAATTAAAAACAAATATGTCAGACTGTAACAAAACAGGTCACCGTTATCGTGTATTCGTAACATGATAATGGGAAACGCCTTCCTCGTCTTCTTGACCAGGAAACTTGCTTGCATTACCAATTGTATTGTATACATCAACAACCGCTAATTTCATTGGTCCTGCGTTACCTAACTGATGATATTCATTAAATCCTTGGAATGGTTGAACAGAAGCTGCATTAGTTGTATCATACGTGTTTTCATTGACTGCTGAATTATCATTTTTTTGAGTATCGACCACTGTTTTGGCTTTTACAGCCGGATTTCTTTTCTGGGCAGATGACGAGCAGGTTGTATAATCGTGGTGGTTTCCTTTGTCGATGACCACTTTTGAATCAGAATAGCGTTTTAAATCGCCAGTATTTATATGCTTGTTATGTTTAGCAGATTCTGCATAATGATACTCATTATTTGAATCATCTATATTCGTTTTGGTATCTGCTGTTTGGTACATTGGATTTTCTGTCATGTAATAATCGTCATCTCCATCGTCATTAGTTTTCTTTGTGACACCTTGGTTTGCTATTTTTGGCTGTTTATTTCTTTTAGTAGATCTTCTGTAAAAGATAAATTTTTAAAGTTTGGAGGAACAACTTTATCATAAGAATTTTAACACCATTTTCACGCACTCAAGTATTTTACAAACAGATTTTTTTCAACAGATAAAATAAAATGAAAACTACATCACAAACAGCTTTCATAACTGCTGATCTACTCTAAAGAATCAATCTTATCTGGTTCCACCCACTGTTTTTTCGTTCAGGGCACACAATTTGGCATTCATGGAATGTCATGAACATGTTACAATGATGGTTCAATGATAACCGCCAAATGAATACATTGCGAATGTTTCTAAACTCAAATTTTCATTTTTTTTAAAGATTACTGCTTAAGTCAGTGCTAGGGGCGTGAACGGTAGGTTGTATTTACAACTTCTGTCCATAAACAGGCTATATCAAACGGAGCTTGCAACATGATCAATTTTGTCGTTTGGTGCGTTTCTTTAAGTTTAAATTTTTGACTATTTTGAATCGATTTGCACATTCATTGCAGGAGTGAATATCATTATTTTATACGGGGTTTGTCCTTTGAAACTTTCATTTTTTAAATTGCTGTTAATTTATTCTTAAATGTGATAAATTCAAATAACATGATAGAAGAAACAAGCACTTAGTAAAACTTAATAATCTATACGAGTATAACGATTTTATAACCCTGATGTTTTATGAACATTTTCCGTTTACAAATATTGGAAAAGGTTTATTTCATATCGTTAGTCGGGCACCAGATAAATCTTTGTAGATATATACATAAATATAACAAAACAAAATTAAAATCCTATGAAAATTATCGAACTAACCTTCTACATATTATTACGATAAGAATTACAACTGCCAAGCAGACGAAAGCAGAAATAGATGCAGCAACAACTGGTACTGAAATATAAAACATTGCTAAAATGATACTGTTGAATATATATTGTGTTAATACAGTGGAAACTTCATTTTTTATATTGAAATTTTAAAGTTTCATTCATAACGTAAGAGGAGAATATATTCGAAACATTGTATTATAGCTCAAATGTGCCTTTGCTATTACGCAATCGCAGAGAAATTTGCATCAACATATATAGTTGTATAAATGTACCTTAAGCAATATAGTTGTTTATTTTACTCATAATTGAAAAAAGAAAAAGCAAATACAACACAACACTTTGAATGCTTATTTTCTCAATAGATAATTCCTCATATCATTGAATACGTACTAATAATATTATCTTCCTCTTTTCCAGTTGTATTCCGGATATTTTCGTCCGTTTTAACACTTGAATTTGTACGATCGCATGCAACGTTGAAAGTAGTATCTAAAAATATAGTTTTAGATATTGGTAGTCTGTAAGAAATATAGCATCATGGTAAAAAATAAACGTCCTAATAACTCTTGTTACCGAGGAAAGTAGATGACATAGTAAAGACCTATGATACTGAAAAAAATAAATTATCATTGATGAGAATCGAATGTACATGTATATTGAAGAGAACAAAATTTAAGCAAATGAAAAGTGTACAGATCACACAGAAATTATTTTCATATGATTTCTGTTTGTCAATGGTGTTATAAAGCGAACCAACACTTTGAAATTGTAATGATATAACAATTTAATACAGTCGAATAGATATTCACCACGAATATTAATAGACCGCAGATATTATTTACGAGTGATTGATTTGAATTGACTTGATTTCATTTAGATTTAAGTTTCCTGTCTAGTTTCTACTTATGCGAGGCAAGAAGGAAACACGAATTTATGTCAGTAAACATGCGTGAGTGAATGTGCTTGTTGCAACACTTTGCAAAATATAAATGTAAGCTAATCAAATCTTGTCATCAGTGACTAATTGAGTCAGAAGTATTTTGTTTTATTCAGATACAATATTAAACGTGTAAGAAAATTCAAAACAACTTATTTTCTTTACATTATAATACTCCATCTGTATGTACGTTATTGATATTAAGACTAGGCTAACATTCAAAACGGAGATTAATAAAATCACTGGAATAGTAATATGGAATGCTGAACATAATAACAGATATAACTGACACAATGTTTATCTACCAGGCAAACAGACTATCCTTAAGATTAATTATTGATTTCAATATCATCAGATAATTGTTCATAAACCAGGCACATGATACGAATTTTACACAACTGACACATAGTTGAAATGATATGTAGAAGTTACCTGACGTTATCTTCATACCTGACGAAATCATCAAGCAAGCTCCTTCATATGTGTAATTATCATTTGTGAGGACAGAAAGCGTTAGAATTCCATCCTCTGGTGTGAATGTATGTTTCTGTCCTGACTTTATTTCATTGTCGTTGACTCTAAAGTTTAAGCTTTGAGGAACCATACCATCAACAAAAGAGAATGAAATATCGACGTCTGAAGTGTTTGAAGTTATCGAACACTCACAAAGTGTCTGTTGAAATATTGGAACTCCTGTTGTTGTTATGTAGGCAAGTTTGTGTCCCGTCAAGGTGTTGATTGTGCATATTTCTACAGCTAAATGTAACAAAACAAGAAACGCCTCAAAATATTATAATTAATATGATATTTTGAAAGTAAATTCATCCGGCAGTATATGTATTCCTTATAGAATATCAATGGTGTATTTATTTTGCAAATTTTAATTTTGAAAAAGTTCACCCTTGGTGTTTTCTTCAAGAAAAGGAAGAAAACTTATCGTTTCATTCTCCAAGTATATGCATATTAAAAAAAACATCGATTATAATATCAACAACAACAACAACAACAACAACAACAACAACCAATACTGTTCGACATGATCTGCTGGCCTTATGACTGTGTTATTGATCGAATTGTTATCTGAGTAGAGACTGGATATCCCTTTTATATAAGTGATAACACAGGACATTGCAATTTCACTTCGATATATACTTAAAAATCCTTTTGAATGGCATTGTCTCATTATGATTAACATGTTTTTGGCAAAAGTTCAAAAGATATTGAGCGAACATTATCTTTGACGTGTAACTTTGATCTTTATCCAAGGAATCCAAACGTGTATTTTAATATTGCCGCATTATGGTTACCATTTCTGCAAAGTAAATGCCGTTTCCTTTCATCAAAAAATACCGAAAAGACATAACATTGCTAAGGGACTGGAGGACGACAAAAGGCATAACACTGTACGCTGGAATTCTTGTTGGTGCATTTAAGGAACGTGTTAGGAGACAATGATCTTTATTGATTACACATGCACACTTATTATTTAATATATTATCTCTCTACTAGCAATAGCTAAATTAGTTGTCGATATCCAATATTCGCGTTACATTTATATGTTTTGACGGACTTTTTAAGAGAAAAAAGCACATTATCTCAAGTTGTTATCTTGTTTTATATCTGTCGTTATTGATGCATTATAAGTGCGTACATGTTTAAAGTATTCTAAAGCAAGCGTAAACGGATGCATTATCTCCATATCTAGTCCTGTCTATCTTAGCATACATGTACGCGTTTTTTAGTAACGTACTGCTGACAAAACCTGAAACAAACTCGATATATTTCGAGATTTAAGAGATAGTACATGGTAGCTCATTATTTTTAAAGAAAAGTAAATATCAGCTTATGTATATATATATATTGTATATATCTTTATGAGTATATGAATGGGTATTTATCTGAACGTACCTGGTTTATATTCATTGCCACAAAGCATTGATTGACTGTTTGAATCTGAAATACATATCTACGTATAATAATAGTTCCTTCTTACATACGACGTTTAGCTTTTCACATAGTGAGTATTACCCTAATATTATTCAATATCAGTTACTTAAATGCAATTTCATTTTAGTATTATTAGTAAACAAGTCAGTATGATGCAATGATGTAAAAAGATTTCCCAAAATAGATCAAGGGGTATTTCGTAGTAAACATTACAAAGCTTTATAAATTACCCATTTCTATCGTTTAATTCGCCTATGACATAAATAACATGAGTTTACTTACCATGTATAACACATATGATAAAGAAGAAGAAGAATAAAATCATCATTTGTATCCTTGTTTCAACAAATAATATAACTGTTTTTTAAACAACTAGTTAACCATTTCAAAATGCTTCACATAAAATTGTTTCCAATACGACATACATAAAACACACTGACTCATCGTTTAAGTTGATGGTTTAAATAGTTATATGGTTGAGCAATTTTCGTATATAACAATATCCTACATTTTCATGTAATGTGTACTTCTATTATTACATTGTACTTCTATTATTACATTTACCTCGAGTAACTGCAATACTGAATGTGTAAATAATTTAACATTTCAGTGACATGTATCGTGTTCGTTAATTATTGTTTGTATGTTTTATGCTGAGTTGCGTTGCTGAGATTTTGTCTGACATCTTACCGATGTCAGAAGTTTAATTTAGGTAATTAAAATTGAAAAGCGCTTACAGCAAATTCAACCCAACAATTGAGAAATAACAAACAAAAAACTTAAGTAAGTAAGAGTATATGCCCTTTTAACAAATATAAACTACTTTACATTACATTCTATACATTGTTGTTTTGTTTAAAATTTCAATTTTCAATAGATATGGAGAAAAGATAGAAAAAAATATCGTCTCTTCCTCTGATTTTATTTCAAAGACACATTTAGATAATAAAACATATATACATCATGTACAACATCTCTTGGGCTAAATATGACATAAAATATGAAATAGAATTTATCATATTATTACAGATGCGGTGAACATATCTAAAGAAACTCTAAATACACTTAAACTACATCTATTAATTCTAAAACATATTTATCTGAGCTCAAAGCTTTGAAAGTTCTATCATTCATTTAAGTCACGTGTAATTCCAATTCTTAGCTCAAGCTAATGCCTTTAACGTCATATGAAAAGACAAACTCGTGTCTGGCAACGTTAGTCTAGAAAAGTTTCAATCGTCTGTTCGTGGTGATCGTACATCTGATCTTTAGCGTTAGTTTTATAACTTTCATATTCATATGACGAATTCTTATTGTGTATGCCGTCTCCAAAACTACCTTTTCCAGACGTATTTGTATACATGTACTCGTTTTCCAAAGTTTTTGTGTCCGACTGTTGGTTACTAAGATTTAGATATTGGCTAAAAAGAAGTAAAATGAATTGTAATAAACAACCACATTCGTGTCGTATTGAACGTACGTAAAATGTGCGATATACATTTATATTACAGACACATACTTCAGTCAAAAAACAATGGTGGTGCAAAAGAGATTAATTGTTTAAACGTAGAAAAGGCACCATTGTTACCTTTTACATTTGTTACCTATTAACCATTTCAAAACATTTTATCAAAGTAATATTCAATTTTTAATTCATAATTTTATCCGTTGCAGATAAAGTATTTTCTAGCTAAATTTAAAGAAGAAAATATCTTTTGCCATTTGACAGAGCCAAAGCACGCCATCGCCACTTAAGGGACAGAAAATATATATAACACTTAATATTCCAAGCTTTGAAGACACTCATAAATCTTCATTGTATGCATCGATTATGTATTTTTTTTCTTTATTCAAAGTTTATAACGTAGATAATTACTTACATGCTTTTGATGACATTCGACATTTGCATTTTTTCATTGCTATTTGAATTGTGTGTACAATGTATTTACCTATTGCAATCTGAATTGTTTCTGTATAAAGATATTGGTACGTATCACCCGGTAAATCATTTCCTTGCCTGTCGAGACCTTCATAAACATTTTGGTCAGGTATTTCGTAAATGTTAGTATCACATTCACGTTGCTCTGTGTTTGGTTCTAAGTCCGACATTGAGACTTTATTTGATTGATTTCTTCGTCTTTGTTCTTCAATCGCCCGACGCCTGAAATATACCAGACACTGAATCCATCATTACAAATATTGTTCTTAAAGGAAATAATGATAAAATTAATGCATTTGTAATGTTATGGATGAGATGTAACTTTATTATTAACAACGCATGTATAATAGTTATTACCATGTACTTTTGAAAATAACATCCTAATCAGAAACGCATTTGAAACTGTTACTACTCATAGTACATTTATACAATACCTGTATAATTAACAAGTTTGCAAAATTAATGTAACTACAAATAGTTAGTAAACAATTACAGTACAATGTGCAATACTGTTAATCGCTTGAATAAGCTACTGTTGCTACTAATCAATACTTGACGCACATGTCGTTTTGAACATTATTTCAAAAATCGCACGATGTGTTTCAAATAGTTTATTATCTCAGTCATTTATCGCAGAACAAAAAGGCACACAGAAAAAAAAATAAAACAGACCTTTTCATACATATAACGAAAATGACTGTCGAGATGGATGACAATGACACTGCCGCCAAGTACCGGTAACACAATCAAGGCTACAATGCAATAACAAAAAGACACACAGAAAAAATGAATAAAACGAATCTGATACAAATCACGAAAATGATTATCAAGATGACAATGACACTGCCACCAAGTACCGGTAACACAATCAGGGCTACAGTGAAAGAATGAGCCGATTCATTAAAAACCATAATTCAAAAACAAAAGCAATGCAATAACAAATTGTTCAAGCTTATTTTGTTTTGTTTTTGTAAAACAAAATTATCAGACACTTATTGTACCTTGTTCATGAAATATATTTGTAGGTTTTATTTATTACAGAAATTATGAAAATAAAGAACAACAAGGAAAGAATTCTTTGAAAACATATTTTAAAATTAAGATAATATTTTTTTATAGAAAAAAATGTGCTACAATTAATAAATTGACCTATTAGTCTCACGTTTCTGTTATTTTGTTTTATCTTAATACATACTAAGTAAAAGGTTGTTGTCCTCGTCTGTTGTTTTTTCAATATCCTTGTTTGTACACAGTCTCGAACTTGAGTCAGGATTTACCGATGATGATGCCATTTCTGTTGTACTATATGGCCATGTACGGTAGCACAGAACATTGAAAAATGTTTCTGAAACAGGTCTGTCAAATGTTAGTTATAATATATCAAAGAAAAACACGAAAATTCACAACAGGGACTCGAACCAATCATTCTTTTGATTGCCGGTTCAGTATGCTAACCACTACACCACAGGGACCATTGCATCTTTTCTGCGTACTTCTTGATAAATTTAAGTTACTTTTTAACTTATATTCCGAAGGTATGTTGTAATATTTTTTATTGTATTTGTAAGTAAGGTTTCAATCTATCATTTACCACGACGCTATAGTTATTTTGTTCTACCGATACATGTGTATTTATATATGTCATGCGAGCTTTCATTAAATGAATCAAAATGGCTTGATTTCATTTAAATTTTAGCTTCGCACCTGGTTTCTATTTATTGAAGGCGAGCAAGGGTTGAGTGAAATTGATTGAACATTTTAAAACATATATGAATGTAAGTAAATCTTATTTTGTCAATGACATATTAAGTCTAGCCTGATCAGAATTGTTTTTGTTTCATCAAACGATATAGTAGATTCAAGACAACTAAATGTGTTTATAAATATCATTTCTCATTAAGAGATTATTGATACCTAATCGGTCAGCTATCAAGACAAGGTTAACATTTGATATGAAGGATGAATATAAAAACTAAAAATTTGTAATGGTTAACATGATTTCATAATAACAACATAATGGTATCTCTCTGACAAACAGAATCATGATTAAGACTGATGATTTTGTAATGCATAGGATATCAATATCATTAGTAAATTATTCATGAACCAGGTACCTAGAACTAATTACACACAACTGACATTCAGTTGAAATGATATGTGGAAGTAACCTGACGTTATCATCATACCTGAGGAAACCATTAAGCAAACACTTTCAGATATGTAATTATCATTTGTAAGGACAGAAAGTGTTAGACTTCGATCCTCTGTTGTGAATGTATGTTGCTCTCCTGACTTTGTTTCATTGTCCTGACTCTAAAATTTAAGTTTACAGGAACAATGCCATCAACAAAAGAGAATAAAATATCGACCTCTGAAGTATTTGAAGTTATCGAACACTCACAACGTGTCTGTTGATATTTAGGGACTTTTAACGTAGTAATGTAGGCATGTTTATGTGCTGTCAACTTGTCGATGCCGCATATGTCTACAGCTAGATGTTACAAAACAAGAAACGTTTAAGAAATATTATAATCGATACATGCTTTTGAATGTAAATAGAACAACAGTCGAAATATTCTTAATAGAAATATTAATGGTGTATTTATTTTGCATCTTTATTTAATTTTATTTTTGAAATAGTTTACCCTTGGCGTTTTCTTCAAGGAAAGAAAGAAAACTTATCGTTCCATTCTGCAATTATAGGCATATTTGAAAATGTCGATTATAATATTTTATACAGCAACACCTTTTGAATGGTGTTGTCTCATTATGATTAACATTTTGCCAAAAGTTCAAAATATATTGAGCGGACATGATGATTCAAAGAAAAGTAGATATCATCTTATGTATGTACATGTGTATATCTTTATTCTGATATAAATGGGTATTTATGACGAACGTACCTGGTTTATATTCATTGCCACAATATCGTGTTTGACCATTTTAATCTGAAATACATATCGTAGTATTATAAAATTCCTTATCACACTTATTGCATGCGACGATTAGCTTTTCACATATTAAGTATTACCATATTTTTGATTTTAGTTCTTCAATGATAATTTCCATTTTACTTATATAATTAGGCATTATGATGCAATGGTGTGAAAAGAAAGAAACATTTCCCAAAAAAGTTCATGGGATATTTTGTAGTAAATATTACACAGTGAAGTTTTATTGAACCGATTAACTTTATCAATCATCCGTTTCTATAGTTAAATGTGCCTATGTCAAAAATAAATGAGTTTATTTTTTCCATTTTTGTTCTTATTTTACTCTAAAATAAACCTCTCGGATCCGAACAGATTTTAAGTTTTCTTTCTTTTAAAAAGGTGTATGACTAACTAATCCAAATGATAACCCTCTGAATCGAACACAATTATTTTCCTCCTGTGAGGAAAAAATGGCTGCCGCTTACATTTATTAACAAAGCCAGGTTTAATATAAATTCGCAGTAAGTAACAGAAATATGGATGGTTGGTTGGACTTTTTTCTC